ATTATTGTCTTCAACCAATAATGCATGTATAATTGCATAAAATTGGGATAAAATGAAATTGCTCTGTCATTTGATTTAGTGTTCAGCTTGATATCGGTTAGCGCAAACAGTTTTTTGAGGTCTGCTATCTTGAATCATTTATTTTTGTGTAAACAAAATTTTATTTTGCAAATCAGCTGTTTTAATTGCTTACTTGAGTAAGTTAAATTGCTGATGCTATATCTTTTCCCAAAGATTCAGGATGGTCTTCCTTTAGCAGTTATTGATAAGAACTAAAATAATTAATGAAATGCTTATGTAGCCAACTTGCCATGTTGCCTGAATGACCCATAAGTCAGTAATGAATTGTAACAACAAAATTGTGTTTAGCAAGATGTAATAGTGATGGAGTTGATGACAAGTGCAAAGAGAGCTTTTCCATCCTATATCATCCGACTTTCCAAACTTTGTTTACTATAAGTTACGAAGAGGGTTTTCAGTATTTTCTGCACTGTTACTTTGGAATGGGTGAGCTTGTCCTTCTGACATGGTGTGCTTGCAAAATATTCCAGGCAGCAACAGGCTCACAGCCATCTAGATTTTCCCAGAAGCTGATGGATTAGCACTTACTGGAGCAGATCAGGCAGGAAGCTCCACTTGCGATGTGTTCAAAAAGATAAAGTTGTTACCCGAAGCACTGAAACTGATCTAGAAGTGTACGAGCTCCAGATTTAAATCTCATCAGTGCTATTGTGCTTCCAACCGAGTGTTTGTGGAAGTTCACGCTGATGATTCATTGAACTTTTTCACTTACGGCCAGCTTAGGGACTAAATGAACCAGTCAACTGCAAATTTGTTCAAAAGCAATTTTTCCAATTTAAGTGTTCACTAAAAGCCAGAGAGAACAATCTACTAGTTGATTCAATAACACTAATTTGCAATCACAAGTGCACATTACTCAGCTTTAATTCTACCTGATGGGGTCTTAATAGTAAATAATAATTTGGTAACATAATTGCCATTTGCCTCTGGAAGAAGACCCTCAGCATACCTGGTCCAGTCAGACACGAGCACTTGAGGGGTCGCCTGACCAAACCTCTCAGGCTAATGGGCACCATTGCCAAGCAGCTCCCTTCACCTCAGCTACACGACCAGAGATTGCATTGAAACATAGTGGGCAGGTGAGAAAGTAAAAATAAGCCTTTAGAGAGCACTTTGGTGGCGGTGACAAGTATCACACATGCATGAATTTGAATATGTTTGTCCTACATCTATTTGTTTGAGTTTCTGTGTACATCTGATTGTAATTGTGGTTGCATGATGTCCAATTCCACGTCCACAAAGTATGCACAATGGATTCCTTGAGATAACAAGGTGTAGAGCTGGATGAACACAGTAGGCCAAGCAGCATCAGAGGAGCAGGAAGGCTGACGTTTCGGGCCTAGACCCTTCTGCTCCTCTGATGCTGCTTGGCCTGTTGTGTTCATCCAGCTCTACACCTTGTTATCTCAGATTCTCCAGCATCTGCAGTTCCTACTATCTCTGAAACAATGGATTGCTTTCTGTGTTGAGATCCTGTTGCAGCATGTGGAAGCTTGAAAAACAAAGTATATCTGGGGCTGGTAGGAACTGCAGATGCTGGTGAATCCGAGACAACAAGGTGCAGGGCTGGATGAACACAGCAGGTCAAGCAGCATCAATTATATCTAGGGCTACCAGATCTGCTAACATTATTGCCTCTCCTTCTAAAACATCACTTTTTTTTTTGCTGACCTCTGTCATCAAAAGTGTTGGTATGAATGAGGTGATCAATGATGTGTAGGGCATGTGCAGCGCATAGGGAGCCAGTGCATTAGGATCACGCGGAATTAGGGAACATGCAGTTCTGTGACCAACACAGCGCATAGGTTTGTGTCTAATGCAGTTTCTCTTTACAAGTCCTCACATTGATGGGTCTTGTAGCCTCCTCCTTCACAGGTTGAGACACCCTGCGCACTCCAGGCATGGTCATAGCCTTTTCCCATCCCATTGTGTAATTTTGCATTCCAGCACGGTGGAAGGCGACAGTGAGCGTTCTTCAGCCAGTGGCTTCAGCCTTTGCTGCTACTTGTTGGTATGGCCACAAATATCCAGATGTACCTCGTGGTAGCCTTTGCTATGAACTGCATAGGCTTTGTCCTTCCCCAGGTCCTCAATCTACATAAGCATGAAGCTATCCACTTTTCCTCGTAGCCTCTGACATATGAGGTGGCCATGCCAGCTATGGTCATACACACAGACACATATCATGTATTCAAAATATATCAGAGTTTATATATAAGTGTATGGATCTGAGAAATGCCATGTTGGTTGTGAGAAGTTGGCAAATATTGGATGCCAATATCCGTGGGAGAGGGCTGCACACAGCTGGTAGCCATAGACCTTCTCCGGAGAGGCTAAACAATTTGTAAACTGTTCACAAGCAATAGTGAGCCAAAGTCACTAGGCACGTGCTCTCAATTTCATGTCGAGAATGCTCAAAGTCTAGCTTGTTTGATGAATTTGGTAAGATAAGAAGCTGAATATTAATGAGGTGAATTGCATTGTTTATATGTCATTTAGCAAGCTATAGTCTCCCTTAATTGACAACTTGTCCTACTTAGCGAGGAACTCACCTCACTGCTCACAAATGCATAAAAGATGCAGTGAGTTGCTCCTAATGTTGAAATGGACCTTGCCGGATATCGGGCCTGATTCTGCCACAAATCTCACCATAGATTGTGTTACTCAGGAACCCATAAGATTCTGCCATTGAACTACAAAAATGGTGGCATTCATTACATTTGGATACTTGTGGCTTTCAAAATACAGGTTCCATATGATTCTCACGATAATAAATTAATGCACATAGAATTTGAAAGCAATTTCCAGCCAACCATATATAAAAAAGGTAAAAGTTATTGGTTTTGTTGACCGGTGAAGAGGCTCTTTCTGCGATCCACACTTGAGTTTCTGCGGAATGAAGGTTAGTTTTCAGAAAATGTCCTTGTTTCTGAAAGTGAGAAATATCTGCTTCAGCTCAAAAACGATAATAGCAATTTTGTTTTACTATTTAGTCATTTTGTATTAAATATTCAACTCATATTACCAATTTTGTACGATGTAATGCAATGCAATTAATGAATTGAAATTGTTTTGCTGTGAAAGTATTTTGGAATTTGTCTATGCAATGTTACATTGGTTAAGATTAACAGTTTTTAAATCTGCAAACACACATTATTCTTTTGTTCACTTGTTTCGTGTTTTGTTTCATGCTGATTGCTAATTGCATATTGCAATCACTTTATTTTCCTGTTTATAATACTTAGCATTTTACAAGTTACCCCAAGAAATTGCGGTTTCTTTTCTTTCTTAATCTTTGGCACAGCTTTCCTCCCTTTTAAGGATCAGAGCAGTTTTAGTTGTTTGGAAACGGGAAGAGGAAAGGACTCCATTCATATTTTCACAAACATATCCTACATGTCTTTAGTCTCTATTTGTATGATTTTCTTCTTTGATGTAGAGGAAAATCTGCATTTTATATAGTGTTGTTCCTTGCTTGTGTTTGCAACAACTAAGACACTATCAAGATAAACTGTATATTGATATATAAATGTATACTAATTTTTAGCACAAGCGTAATATGTCTAGCTATTGTTTTTGGCAGGAAACGGTGATGGTGGGGGAAGGTACTGAACAGAGACAGGCCTTTCCATCCAGGAAATGAGGTTGAAAAGTGAAGGATGGGCTTGGGCTAGCTGTTGTATGCCATAGAAAATAGCAGAGACCTGGTACAAATCATCTACCCATCCTGCTACAGCAGAGTGTAATTATGATTTGAGACTGTACGTTCCTTATGTCTTGGAAATAAGGCCTATTATTGCTGAAAAGTTTCATTCATAGACTCAATATTAAAATTATTTTCTCTAGCATAATGAAATTCTCAAATTAATACCTATTCATCATCTATTTCTGTCAACATCTTAGAAATTCTAATTCATTTGTTTCACATGATATATACAAGTATGAATGATTACTTTTGAAAATCATATCACTCAGCTCATTTCTCATTTTGTGCAAGATTTTGACAAAGCATTTCCGTCATCCATGTTTTCTTCTTTTCTGTTCACTCATGGAGTATATGACTTTACTGGCAAAGGCTGTATATTGTTGTCTGTCCTTAATCCTCACAAAATGCTAGTGCTGGACCTTTTTGAACTACTGCAATCTCTACACGTTTTACATTCATAATGCTGTTAGGGAGGGAGTTCAGGACTTTGAGCCAGAGAGCGTGAAGACTGTTAGGAATGAAGCCCCAAGACTTTGACCCAGTGACAGTGAAGGAATGATGATATACTTGCAACTTAGAATGCCGTATGACTTGAAGGGCAACATGCAGGCTGTGGTGTTCCCAGCTACTCTTGAAGATCTGGGTGGTCTATGTCATGAGTTTAGAAAATGCTTCTGGAGAAGCCTTAGTGAGTTGCTGCAAAGCCTTTTATAGAAGGCACAAAGTGCTGACACTGTGATATTCAAGGAGGAATATTTAAGATGATGGTAGTTGGATGGTTTTATGTTTTAACTGAAGTGTCTTGAATCTCTAATCAAAGTACTTGAAGTATCAACCCAATGTCTTTTGTTTGACTGCTTGTGGCACATTGCACTGGAAGTAATGTTTTTATTAAGGTATGCTCCATTTTAGTAATTTTCAATCATATTCTCATTTATTTCAGGAGGAAATATTGAATAAAACCTTACAACTTCCACCCACCCCCATCCACAACATAAAATTCTTATATTTAATTATGGCATGAGCATGCTGGACTGACAATAAATAATGATTTTAAATACATGAACTTAATATTTAGCTGACTGTGGATGCAAATAAGTATGTGTTGCTTATTTTTATACCAGAAGAAGAAGACTTTCTTTTACTTTACACATAAATTAAATGCCTTCCAGGGATATACAGATTTAACAGTAAAACTTGTTTGTTTTTACAGCTAGTAGGTGTGGTATTTTATGGAAGAAAGATCCTTTAACAGGCACCTGCTACCAAATCAACTATAATTCAGCTCTAACATGGCATGAAGCAAGAAGAAGTTGTCAGCAACAGAATTCAGACTTGCTGAGTGTGACAGAGCTGCATACACAGACATACCTTACAGGTAACAAATCATTCAACAAAAATGTTTTTAAAATGTTATTCTCAAGCAAAACAAAGATGTCATGACCCATGACTAACAAGTTATTAATTTTATTGATTTTTTGCTGCAAGAATAGTCTCAAAGTATTAATTTGCAACAACCACATTCTTGAAAATCTTTCCAATGTCTATATTTTTAGGGCACATGTTTCAGTGCTGTTTCCTGTTTGAACAGTGACTATATATGTGTTTAAGGCATTTATTTAATTTAAATGAGATTCAGAAAATGTGGGAAATGAAGGTGAAACTTTTATTTCTAATTATCATGCAGTAAGGATTGTTGATGAGAGAACTGCTATTACTGTAACCTCAGCCAGTTGTTGAATTGCATCCAGTAGATTAAACATACTGGACAAGTTTGAGCTCTGCAAAGATAGGCAGCATCAATAGGATGTTTAGAATACATTTGAGTTGAATTTCTGAGGAAGTTGTGACTATGCATGTTTATCTGTATGAATCCCAAATAGACACTTGTCAAAGTTTCATACAAGAAATTACTAGCAAAACTGAAAGCATACGGATGTGAATCTAATCATGTCACATCATTTGATAACAGATTCAGAGTTAGGAGATGATGCATATATGACACATGCAATTAGTGGTATGTAACCAGGTAATGGTCCATTTTCACCTGCATTTGGGCCTCAACTTTCACCATAGCTATTAATGACTTGGATTCAGGAATGCATTCACGTTTGTAGCTGGAAATAAGTTAGGAAGCAGGGAAAATTGTGCATTCCACCCTTATCCCAATTTATTTCCTTCTGAAGTTTTTGTCCAAGGCTCTATCACCTCTAGTTGCCATGGAAAGAGTGCAACAAAAGTTCACCAGAATAATTGTTGGGATCGCATATCGTTATGTAAGGAGATAACGGGTCAACTGGGTCGCTATTTGCTAGAATGAAAAAAATGGGAGGGAGAGTCTCACGAAAATTATAAAATTCCAACAGAGCGAGACAGACTGGTTGCAGCGATAAAGTTTTCCCTGGCCATGAGGCTCAGCACAAGGGGTTATTGACTCAGGAAATGGAGTAGATTGTGCAGGACTGAGACGAGGAGAAATTTCTTCACTCAGAGGGTGGTGAACTTGTGGAATTTGCCACACCAGACTGTGGAGGCTAGGTCATTATACATATGTAGCCAAAAAAAAGATTTTCCAGATACTACTGGTGTCAAGGATTTGGCGTTGAGATAGAGGATCAACCATCATCATATTGAACGGCAGGGTAGGCTTGATGCTTTGAATGACCTATTCCTGCTCCTGTTCTCTATGTTTCTATATTCTAAGTTTTTAAACTTGACAGTTGCAACACAATTTTGGCTAGCCCTTCACATTCTACCCTCTGTTAACTGGAGCTCACCAGTACTCTGCTGGTAGTGTCTTAACTTTCATAAAGTCTTCATCACCTATCACCCCCTGCTCTCACTGGCTAAATTGACTCCTGGGTGGACAAGTCATGACTTTTAAATTCTCATCTTTGTTTTCGAATCCCTCCATGTTTTTTGTCCTCCCTATCTCCTCTACTCCACAATTCTCTGAGATATCTGCACATCATCCAATTCTGGCTTCAAGTGCATCCCCAATTTTAATTGAGCCATCCTTGATATCCATGCCTTCCACTGCCTGTACCCTAAGTTCTGCAATTTCCTCCCGAAACCTTCCTGTCTCTCTACTATTTTTCCTGCTTCTGAGTCAAATGTAGCCACAATAAATATCAGAGGAGATATCTATTAATCCCAGTTCTCAGCTGGGAGTCCTGCGTTATCTTCTCCTTTGAAGAAAGTAAGTAGAGAATTCTGAGTGTGAAAAAAGATTAGGTGAACGGGGTGTGGATTCATAGAGGCTGACTGTGAGGATAAGATGTTATGAAATGAAGACATGTATTAGCATCAAGCATCAGCTGTTCATACAGTGATATGAAGTGTCTACAGAGAGTGAAGAATGAATGAATCTGGAAGGGATACCACTTGAAAGTTTTATAAGTTATGTCCGCATTTATTTCAAAGGGAATGAGTATAAAAATAGGGAGGGCTTGATAAAATGTACAAGGCACTAGTTGGACCGCAGCTGGAATACTGTGAACAGTTTTGGGCCCCTTATGTAAGGAAAGATATACTGCATTGGAGACAGTCCAGAGAGGGTTCGCTGGGTTGATACGAGGTAGAGGGTGATGTCTTTTGAGCAGTGTTTTGAGTAGATTGGGCCTGTCCTTATTGGAGATGCTAATATTATAGCTTGGTTAAAATAAACTCACAATAAAGCCCATTTCAATTTCAAACTAATTATTATCTCCCCTGTCCAAGCAAGTACATTGACTTAAAATTTACCTTGTGTGTCTCATGCTGGCTATTGGCACAAGGAGTCCGATTACATGTTCATTTAATTATATTTAATTCTCAAATTTCCAACTATAATTTCCGAATATGTTTTATTAATTCCTTATGAATAGTGTGTGAAAATTTCCTTAATAAAAAGAAGAATGTGTATTTATACAGTGCCTTTTATGACTCTAGGAGTATCATATTGTTTTACATCCAATGAAGTTTCACGATGAAATTCATCTATTTAGCTTGTATTCTTTGGTGTCAAGACATGGGTATTATGAATTGCATATTTTATGGTTAATGATTTGCACACAGTATTGAGATTTAAAATGTGCCAAAACTACTTTATTGCTAAATAATATTCAGGCTAGTGCTCTCGATTGAGGAGAATGCTGTTAATGTAGTGTACATGGATTTGTCAAAGGCATCTGATAAATTTCCACACAACAGATCTGTGAACAAAGATAGGCCTTATGGAATAAAAAAAAGAATAGCAACATGAACATAAAATTGGCAGTATGATAGGGAACAAATGGTTAATAGTTAATGGCTGTTTTTTGGGTTGGACAAAATTTTATGGTTGAGCTCCCTAGCAATTGGTGTTATGCCCTTTGCTGTTTCTGATATAGGTTAAAGACCTAGACCCTGATGTATAGACCCTGATGTACAGGGCACAATTTCAAAATTTGCTTTCAGTCCAAAACTTGGAAGTATTGTTTACTGTCAGGTGAATCATATAGAAACTTCAAAAACACATTGACAAGTTAGTGGAATAGACAAGTGGTACTTAGGGTACTGCATCACATTTGAGGGAGGCTGTGAAGGAACTGGAGAGAGTGCAGGATAGATACACTGGAATGGTTCAAAGGAAAAAGAACTCAAGTTACATATGTAAATTGGAAAAGTTGGGGAATCTTTCCTTGGAGAAAAGAACTTGAGAGGAGATTTGATAGAGGTATTCAAAACCTTGTGGAGTCCAAAGAGAGTAGATAGGAGAAGCTACACCAATTGGTGGAAGAATCAAGAACGAGAGATCACTGAAGTAATGGCAACATAGAAAAAGCTTTTTCACAACGTGAATGGTAAGGATCTGGAAGGCATTGCCTTAAGAGTGTGATGGTTGCAGCTTCAATAAAGACAATCAAAGGGAAATTAGGTCGTCATTTGAAAAGGAAGAACTTGTACGTCTGAGGGGAGAAAGTTAGGCAGTGACACTGAGTGAATTGCACCTTTGGAAAGCCTGTACAGACTGGGCTCAATGACTTCCTTTTGTTTCGTAATCATTCTGTGATTTTCTGTATCCAATCCTGGTCATTTGCAATGCTAAATACTCAAATGTCCCAATATTGATGTCACCACCCTGTTTAAAATTTTGGCAGCAAGTTTCATTTCGTGAAATTGCTTCCAGCCAACCTTTAAGCTGAATGACCTGTAACCTCACTTATTGGAACGCTGTTGATATGAGTTTCTTAGACAGTATAAAAGGAAGCTAGTGTTGTACCTTGCTTTTATTGACCACCTGCATTTTCTGTATCTCCTGTCTTCTTAAGCTTGGGTGTTGTCATTCTCATTCTTCTGTGTGCCATTTCTTCTTAGCTTTGGGTTAATTAATACTAATTGAAGCTGCTGTTGTTTTCCTTGGCAATTCTATGAGTTAAGATCAACCCTTTGTCTACCACTCTGAGAGTTTGTGCAAACATTAGTTATTTCCAGTTTTCAGCTTTGTCTAGGGGTTAGAAACTTCATCACATACATATCCATGTTGTTAGTTAGCAGAATGTATTCAATTTCACTGTAACACTAATATCTGTCATTTCTTCCTTAGGCTGCCACTGGCCCTACTTTGGCTAAGATTCTTGCTGTCTTCCTTGTTCCAGGAAATCAGTTGTCCCAAAACATGAGATAGGATGATGATATGAGTAACCATTCTCTGCAATGTGTTTATCTTTTATTTAGGACTAATGAATAATATTGGCACATCACTTTGGATAGGACTAAATAGCCTGGATCTTGATAGAGGGTGGCAATGGAGTGATCAAAGGCCCTTCAGATACTTGAACTGGGCTCCTGGTAAGTAATGGGAACTTTACAGTGTGAAAAGAAACAGAAATCAAAATGATAAACAATTCTTGAGCAGATTGCCTGTGCCCTAGAATTCCTGGGCTCAAGAGGTCATAAATGTTACAGGCACATTGAGTATCAATAGATTTGTGCCTCATATAATTGGATGTCAGTCTTGCTTTGGATTAACCCTATTTGTGGAGAACCAGGTAAGTTGATATTTCAGAGCTCTCGGCAAGCAATGTACAGTAAAATTTGAAAATAAAGGTAAGTGGATTTTAAGGTTGGGTAGGTTAGGGGATTGTGATAAACTAATACCATTTACCATCATCATTCCTCTAAACAGAACACAACTTCAGGAAGTTGAACATGCACAGAATAATGTGGAAATCCTGAAGTTTTGGTCTATCACTCATGGTTCAGATAGAGGTTGCTGTACGCTGTACCCTTCCTCAGACCTGCAACTCATTGAAATCAGTACAAATTTTCACACACCCATCCCATATCCCTCTTAAAATTCATTATAAGTAATAACTTGTCCAATCATGGTTTCAACAGTGCTGAGATCAATGACATTTGACAAACAACAGAATAGCTCAGAAATATTAATTTTATATGCATGGAGTGTTGTTAAAAAACTGACTTATTAATCAGATCATTGCTGGAAGTCAGCTCAAGTATCTACGGGAAGTTGGGTGCCTTTCAGACGTCTGGGTCTTAAAGTCCACCAGTCAAGAAAGTATAAAAACCAGAAGAACTGTGGATGCTGTAAATCAAAAACAAAAACAAAGCTGCTGGAAAAGCTCAGCAGGTCTGGCAGCATCTGTGGAGGGAAAAACAGAGTTAACGTTTCGGGTCCAGTGACCCTTCTCAGAACTGATGCTGCCAGACCTGCTGAGCTTTTCCAGCAACTTTGTTTTCATTATTCAAGAAAGTATGTTTACTTTCATTTTTCTTCTGAAGTTGGGGGCCATAGGAAGAGGAAGGTCAAAGGCAAGGGTGGGAGTTGGTTAGCAGAATCTCATTTTCCTCATAAGTGGTTCCAATTGCCCCCAAGTTGGGGAAAGTTCCTAATGCCGTGAATAACTTCAGGAAGACTTCCCGATCATTAAATCCTTTGAGATATAGGCTAATATTAATTTTCTTTCCCTATAACTTAGTAAACTTTAATGCAAACTTTATGTAATTCATGCCTCTAATCCCAATGTACAACAGCTTTCTGCATTCTTTTCCCATTTAAATAATATTCACCTCCTCTTTTCTTCCCACATAAGTACACAAGCTCATTTTTCCACATGACATTCCATTTGCTGAAGTTTTGCCCACTCATTTAACCAATCCATATCTATCTATAGATTCTTTGCGTTGTCCTTTCCACTTGCATTCCCATTTATGTTTGTGTCATATGCAAGCTTGTTGATGGTGAAATTACTCTGTCTTTCCTTCTTTGCGAACTCAAGGACATCCATCATCTGAACCGGAGCATTCATGTGTGGTTATGAATCCTTTAATGGGAGCCAAGTGGGAAAACAAGGCTTGTTCTCTGAAACTGGGATATATTTGTCAGAATGATATTGGAAACAGAAGTTCTTCCACAACTGTTGAAGGTTAGTCCTGTTGTGTGTATAACCATTTGAGAGTAATATGACATGTGCTGTTTAAACACAGAACAACAAATTTCAACGACTGCAAAAGGTTGATACAGACAGAAGATGTTTCCAAGATTTTACTTTGAGTTAAGAATTCCTGCTTCTGTTAGTGTATTGCTCAGGAAGATTTCTTTTCAGAACATATTTTAAGTTTAGCTAGCAATACCAAAGAGCAGTAATTTTTATTAGCATATTTATATTTTGGCGTGGTTTTCCCTCCAAGATGGTGTAACCTTGGTGGAAGATTGATGAAGCTACCACAGAAACATTATAAAATGGCTGAATAAGAACACTTATGCCATTTCTCCTAGAGTTCTACTGGTCATCTGCCAGTGTAACATTAGGAGGCTGGGAGAAACCCTGTGGAATTTAAATCAACATTGTTATCAATAAGTAAACAGAAGTTCTTCTCACATAGGTTTATTTATTGTATTCATCCCTGAGGTATGAGTATCACTGGCAAGGCCAGCATTTATGATCCATCCCTCATTGACCTTCAGAAGCTGACAGTAAGCCACAACATTGAAGCACTGCTGCTCACCTGCACTGCTGCACTTTACACCAAAACTATCAGAAGGAAACACATGATTTTGACCCAACAGTCGTGAAGGAATGCTAACATAGTTTCAGGATGCATATGGCTTGGTGGGAAACTTGCAAGCGATGATGATCCCATGAGACCGTTTTCCTTGTCCACCTAGATTGTAGAAGTCTTGGGTTTGAAAGGTGCTATTGAACGAGCCTTGGTGAATGGCTGCAGTACATTTTGCACCAAGTGTCATTATGCACCGGTTGGGAGGGAATGTATTAGATGAGGAATAAGATGTTGATTGAATGGGATTCTTTGCCTTGTATGATGTGAAGGTGTCTAGGTGTTATTGAAGCTGCACGTTCCAGTAAGTGGAGATTATTCCATCACTCTCTTGATTTGCACTTTGTAGCTAGTAACTAGATTTTGGGCAGGCAGGAGGTGAGTTCATTTCAACAGAAGTCTCTCTGATCTGGCCTAATGTCCACATAATTTAAATGGCAGAGCTATTTAAATTTCTGGTCAGTGATAACATCATAGAATATTGATGGTGAGTTATTAACCCTAACCCTAAACCTATTGCAATTGGAATGCTATTGAATGTCTTGGAGAAATTAGACAGGAACTTTCAGAAGTTGATTGGGGGAGGCTATTTGCAGTTAAAGCGATGGTTGGGCAGTAAAAGGCCTTTAAAAATGAAATAACGAGAGCTCAGAGACGGTATGTTCCTGTTAGTGTGAAGGGCAAGGCTGGTAGGGTAGGCAATGCTGGATGAGTAGAGAAATTGAGGCTCTGGTCAAAAAAAAATTATGGACAGCTAGGATCAAGTGAATCCCTAGAGGAGTATAAGGGCAGCAGGAGTATACTTAAGAGGGAAATCAGGAGGACAGAAAGGGTACGTGAGATAGCTTTGGTAAATTGAGTTAAGGAGGATCTGAAGAGATTCTATAAGTACATTAAGGGCAAAAGACTAACTAGGGAGAGAATCAGGCCTCTTAAAGATCAACGTGGGTGTCTCTGTATGGAACGACAGGAGATGGATGAGATATTAAATGAATATTTCATGTCAGTATTTACAGCGGAGAAGGATATGGAAGCTATGCAACTTGGGGAAAAAGTAGTGAGCTCTAGAAGAGAGTTCGGTGGTGCAGTGGACAGTGAAGATGATTATCGCAGAGTACAATAGGATCTTGATCAGATGAGCCAATGGGCTGAGGAATTTAAATTAGATAAATGTGAGGTGTTGTATTTTGTACAACAAATCAGGGCAGGATTTATGCAGTTAATGAAAAGGTCCTGGGGTGTACTGTTGAACAAAGAGACCTAGGGGTGCAGGTGCAATAGCTCCTTGAAAGTGGAGTTGCAAGTAGGCAGGATAGTGAAGAAGGCATTTGTCGTGCTTGCCTTTATTGTTCAGAACATTGCGTAAAGGAGTTGGGATGTCATGTTGTGGCTGTACAGGAAATTTGTTAGGCCACTTTTAGAATATAGTGTACAATTTTGATCACCCTTCTATAGGACAGATGTTGTTAAACTTAAAAAGGTGCAGAAAAGGTATACGAGGATGTTACCAGGACTGGAGTGTTTGAGTTTTAGGGAGAGGCTGAATAGGCTGGAGCATCGGAGGCTGAGGCGTGACCTTATAAAGGTTTATTAAATCATGAGGGGCATGGATAGGATGAATAGCCAAGAGCTTTTTCCTAGGGTAGAGCAGTCCAAAACTAGAGGATGTGGTCTAAGATGAGAGGGGAAAGATTTAAAACAGACCTGAGGGGCAATACTTTCATGCAGAGGGTGGTGCATGTATGGAATGAGCTGCCAGAGGAAGTGGTGGGGGCTGGTACAATTGCAACATTTAAAAGGTTGCTTCAATATTGGAGGAGTTGTGAATGGTACTGAACAATATAAGTCATCAGTGAACCTCCCCACTTTTGACCTTATGATAGAGGGAAGGTCATAACTGATGCTTCAGATGCTTCAGCTAAGGACATGACCCTAAAGAATACTGAAATAATGTCCTGTGGTTGACGGGATTGTCTTCCAACAACCTCAGCCAGAATCTGCAGCTGCAAGCAGTAACATGCTGTGGTTTGAAATTTTCGAAGTTATATAGCAGTCTCAAATTCTACAAACTTATAACAGCTTGCATAAATCATTGCTCCTTCCCATCGTACAAACCCAGAATGTAATAGAATGTACTCAGTGCACGTTGTGCAGTTTTGCATTTCACATCTGCAGGAACACAGCTCTGCAGAATTTCACTGATTGATATTTAACCATAGGTGACAACTTGCTTGGTCATAATTTTTACAAATTTGTTGTGCATATTGATTTTGAAACACTGTTTTTTATTTGTACCTCCCAAAATCTATTTTCTTGTCCTTCAAATACTTCCCTCAATACACAACTACAGATTTTTATTCTTTTATTTTATTCACTAGTGGGATGTGGGAGTTGCTGATTGGCCAGCATTTCTTGCCCATCCCTATTTGCCCTTGAGAAGGTAATGAACTGCTTTCTTGAACTGCTGCAGTCCTCCTGCTGTAGGTTGACACACAAAGTCCTTAGGCAGGAAGTTCTAGATGGACTAAAATGCCTAAAGATGACCTTTCACAATAGATATGAGAAAGAGATAAACTGTATGTACCAAATGTAAACGTGCATTTTGTTTAAATTTTAATGAATATTGAACATAGAATACATCTTTCCCTATTGACTTGATCCATATAGAAGCAGATACTCTGTTTTATCCAGATTCTCTCTGTTGCAAAACTAATGTCATTTTATATTATTGTCTCATATTTTTCTTTATTGCTGGTGTCATAGCTTTTGTGTGGGATATGTGTCATGTTCTGTTTTCTTTCTCTATTGCTGAGTATTTCAGGTACCAAGACAACAGACTGAGAGAATGGTAAACTAGACACAGAGCCATATTGGTTCCTCAGAATAGAAGTCCATTTGGCCCATCTTAATTGTGCAGGCTTTTTGCCAGAGCACCTCAAACTAATCTTACTCTTTTCCACCTTCCTTAAAAATCTATCTTCTTGTGCCTCAAATACTTCTCTCAATTTTTGTCAAAGCAAGCTATAGCTTCTGCTTCAACCTTGACAAACCAACTGATGCTTCAACAACTGACATTTAAAGAATATCTCTTTACCTCCTCACTCTTTTGGTAATGATTTTAAATTGATGATCTCTTATTATTAAATCCCAAAACCAGAAGTAATTTTAGTTACTCTAACAATGTATTTTCTACTTTCAGCATCTCAAGTCTCTTCTCATGTCTGTGGTTTGCCATCTCTGGTGTTATCTCAATTGATATTGCTTCTCTTCATGTTCTATCCTTTCGAAAGTAGGTCACCTATGTTACACAAAGCACTCTAGTTGCAACTTTAGCAATATTTAGAATTGTTGCAAGATCAGCTAGTAATCAACAGTTCTAAATTAATTGTGTTTGCTAAGGATGAAGGAAGGAAACAGGAATATAAATAATACAAAGCATGGGATCAACAAATAGAGGCAGGGGATACAAGGCAAGGATTCCCTAATGCTGACTACAACATAACTGTCAACGTTTTGGAGAATCCTGGCTTTGTTCATATCTATATTGAATCACATCCAAGTCATTATGAGTAATCCCTGAACTGGCCACATGTTCTTTTCTTAAAGGATATTATTTCATTAGAAACAGTTCATCGAGGGTTCACTCAACTGATTCGTAGAATGAAGTGATTTTCTTATGAGGAAAAGGTTATGCCTATTGTCATTGGATTTTTATAGACTAAAAGATGACATTATTGACACACGGTTCCTGGGGGAACTTGATAGGATGGATGTTGAGAAAATGTTTCTCCTTGTGACAGAGTTCACAATATTATAAGGGACACATTATAAACATTCGGCATCTCCCATTTATGTTGGAGATGCACATGTATTTTTCTCTCAGAGAGGCATTAGTCTGTGGATTTCTCTTCTCCAGACAGCAGTGGAGGCTGACCTGGGCTCTTGAATATTGAATATTGAAGGCTGAGTTTGGTTGATTTTTGATTAACAAGGGAAGAAAGAGTTATGGGTAACAGACAGTAAAATGGAGTCGAGGTCACAATCAAATCAGTTATGATCGTATTGAATTGCAGCGCACGCTTGAAGGGCTGAATGGTCTACCCCTGCTCCGAGATCCTGTGCTCTTCATTCACATTCTGTTTTTTATCTGTACGGAATATATAGAGACACCTAGTTATATATTATTAACTGATTCCTTGGAAAGTTCTCCAGCTTGGAATTCAATAGCATCATATCCATTTGAAAGAGTTCTACCTTAAGTGTAACAATGCCACTTGTAGGTTTAGATTAATTTCAACAAAGATTAGAGGAATGATACAATTACAGTGAGAGTGAGCACTGATTTATGCAGCCTAGTTCTAAACAAAAGATGCTTGACCAATAAGCAACAGCACAAGTAACAAAAAAATAATTCAGGTAACCTTTAGTCCATATGATGTAGGAGCAGAATTAGGCCATTCAGCCCATCCAGTCTGCCCTACCAATGAAATCATAATTTATCTGCTAATCTGCAACTCCACTTTCCTGCCTTTTCCCCATAACGCTTCGTTCCCTTACTGATTAATAACTTGTCTATCTTGGCCTCGAATATACTTAATAGCCCAGCCTGAACAGCCCTCTGCATAAAGAATTTCACAGATTCACTTTCCTCTGAGAGAAGAAATTTCTCCTCATCTGGGTCTTAAATGAGTGACCCCTTTTTCTGAGATTATTCCCTCTGAGTCGAGAGTTTCACACAAGACGAAACAATCTCTGCATTTACTCTGTCATGTCCCTTAAAATTTAGAATGTCACAATAATGTAGCCTGCTATACTTCTAAACTCCAATCAGTACAGGTCCAACTGACTAAACCTCTCCTCAAAAGACAGTCCCTCCCAACATGGTATCATAGAGAATCTGTTCTGGACTATCTCCTATGCCATATATCCTTCCTCGGATAAGTCTCCCAAAACTGTTCACAGTCTTCCAGCTATGGTCTGAATAAGGCCTTGGATAGTTTTTTAAAGGTCTCCCCATTTTTATACTCCAGTACCTTTGAAATAAAGGCAAATATAAATTGCAGATTCAAAATATATCAAATATATCACTGATATTTTAGAAATTTGCAAGCATTTGGAGAGTTGAGATCATTAGATTGACTATGTGCTTTTCATTGATACTAACAGAGACACTAGTTAGAGCTGGTTTTAAACAGGATCACATGGCCATAGTCCTTTGGGAATACGTGGTGCCATTAAAGCTAAACTCAACTGTATGGAGTGGCTAAGTCCACGACTTCAATGAATACAGATTCAGGCAATGGCAGTGAATCTAGATTACCATGATACAATGGCATGCTGCATTTGTTTATGGCTTCCTTGAGTATCACTTTAATGAATAGACTAGAAAATGTGCACTGATTGCATGGACACATCATTGCTATCAAGTCCTTTTGGCCTAGGTTAAGGAATTCTCCAACTTGTATGTGAAACACTCACATAGAACTGGTTGTCGTAGCTCGTTTAACCATTTGGAAAATTCATGTTGTGCGGAACAGTTATCGATAAGATGGGGATGCAAGGGGTTATGTGTGGCTTGGGCAGCCCATTCATATGTGGATGCAGTGAACTGTGAGAATGAATCATATCATCCAATGTTTTCATCAGTTTCTATGAGAAACATGCCTTTGATGGAATGATTTCTAACCCCTTACCTCTTGCATATTTCCAGTAAATAGAAATTGGGAAAAGTCATTAAAAAAAAGGAAATGAGGGTGCATTAGTGAAAGCATATCCTTTATTCATTCATGGGATGAGGAACGTCACTGGCTAGGCAGCATTCATTGCCCATCTCTAATTGCCCAGAGGGCAGCTAAGAGTCAACCACATTGCTGTGGGTCTGGAGTCATACATAGGGCAGACCAGATAAGGATGGTAGTTTCCTTCCTTCAAGAACATTAGTGGACCAGACGGGTTTTTCCCTGACAATTGACAATGGGTTCACGATCATTAGGTTCAAATTCCACCATCTGCGTTGGTGGAATTTGAACCCAGGCCCCCAGAACGTTATCTGAGCCTCTGGATTAACAGTCCAGCAATAATACCACTAGGCCATTGCCACCCCTTATTGTTGCCTCCCCTTGTATAGTGAGTACAATGTGCTTACTAGTCAAGCAAATTTTTGAGGGCATTAAAATAGAAATTGGAACAAATCAAGGACATAATAAAGAAAGAAAAACAAGAGAATTTGAATTATTTCAGCACCTTTCATAATCTTTAGGTGTGCCAGAGCACTTTAACACCCCATATTGTTACAGCACCTTCAATATTTTAAAGAGTCAATGTTGTAATGTACTAAATGCAACAGCTAATCTCATGAACAGCAGTCTGATAAAGAGCAGATAATCCATTCTTAATAAGTGATATCAGTTAAAAGATACATGTGAACCGGGACATTGGAGACCTGTCCACATTTTCTTCAAAATGGTGTTGTTGAATTTTTGCATGTGCACCTGAGAGAGCAGATGTGCTTAAGTTAATGTCTCATGATCACTGGAGAATCTGATTCTGTAGTATTGTCTGCAGTTTTGGTTATGGTCTGAAAATGGATGTAGATAAATTAGAATACATTATAGGAGGAGAACTCAGGGTGAGTACAGACTTTAGTGGACTACATTATGGAGGAATGCTCAAGCTGTAGAATTAATTTTGACAGAAAAATGGAAATAAAACTAGGTGAAACTTTCAATAAAAATGTATAAGGTTCTGTTTGCAAGTTGTTTAATTTGGGTAGTAACTGTGGTACTAGAATGTACATTAGTGTACGAGATTACCAAAATCCACGTGACAGCTATTGGCATTTCTCCCCATCTTTGCATTTGTAACAGCAACTGGATTTGTGTGAGGCCTTTGAAATATTTAAGAAGTTACTTTGTTGTTAGATAAATCCAAGTGTTACTTTTTGTAATTGAATAATTCCCTGGTTGTAGGGGAAGGAATATAAGGGCTATTTTCAATCAGATCCATATGGAGTGGTAGCCCACTGTGTCCAAATGGTGTAAGTGGATTATATGCCTCCTCAGCTTTTTAATGAGGAAATATCCATTCTTCGATTTCTATTCATAATGCTGTTAGGCTTTGAGAGTATTTGTGTTGAAAAGGAACCACGGATTTCTCTGTACATTAATGTCCTTACTTTCTTTTTCCTCCTTATTTTTCCATTCCTTATCTGGTAAAAAAAACACTCACCCGAAACGTCAAATATTTGTGAGGTTTTTCATATCAATTCAGCAAACATTTGTGATTAGTCGATATCATATTCAAAGCCTGAATGTGTCTTGTTTTCTCATAAGTTGATTGCAGAAATAGATACCCAAACTAAATGTTTCCCTCAATTATACTGGAATATTGAGGCCAATAGATTTCCCTGAATACCATTAAATCCAGGAACACTTCATTTAGTATAGACTCTGGATTAAAACAGATATTTACAGTTTAAACTCACTGGATCATTGGAAAACTCTTTCTTTTCTTATATTTGTTGTTCTATCATTAATGTAGAATAAATGCAACACAACCCGAGAGGTTTCTTCAATTGTTTCCACACTTATAGACATTATTTCTGATAATCAATGCATGTGCCTTCTATGCTGCTTTATGGATAGTAACTGCACCCTCAAGGATATAATCACCTGCTTACACATCAACACAAAGCAAACTAAAAATGTACACAATAAAATCAGTAGCGTGAGTGGCTGACGGAAATATAGGTTCAATGAATTTGCCTTTGAATTCAATGTCTTTGTTGTGCGATGACATGTGTTGGACTTAAACTAAATTTGACTTTGTCTTTCAGTGAGTGATGCACCCATGTCGTGCCCAAAAGGATGGCAGTCATACGCAGGTTATTGCTATAGCCTGCGCAGAGATCGCAAGACGTGGCAACAGTCTTTGTCAGCCTGTCGAAAGGAGGAAGGAGACTTAGTCAGCATTCATAATATTGAAGAACATAGCTTTATCATCACCCAGCTTGGATACTGTGAGTACTAAATACTGTAACTTTGATTTTCTACAGAAATTGAATATTTGAGGGAATTATAATAAGCAGCTGCTCCCTTTATATTTGATGGGCAGAAATTGAGAAGGTAGGGGTCTACAGCACTGAAAAAGTCCCTTCAGCTCATTGAGTCTATGCTGGTCAAAAGAAGCACCTACCTATTCTAATCCTATTTTCCAGGACTTGGCCTATAACCTTGTATTCCTTGGCGTCACAAGTGCACATCTAGATACTTGCTAAATGTTATGAAGGTTTCTGCCTTTACCATCATTTCAGGCAGTGACTTCCAGATTCCCACCACCCTGCTTAAAACTATACCCCTTGGTCATTGAGATAACAAGGTGTAGAGCTGGATGAACACAGCAGGCCAAGCAGCATCAGAGGAGCAGGAAAGCTGACGTTTCAGGTCTGGACCCTTTCTG